TGCAATGGGACTTGCTGTTTTCAACAAGAATTCAAAAATATCATTTTTGACCATAAATGATTGTGGTTTTTAACAAGAAGAAAACATCACTTTTTACCAAAAACGACAAAAATATTCATCAAAATTAGAGAATTGAAGATATGAAATGAACAAATTTGAGAGTGGTCCATATGTAGTAACTATATATGTAATATCAAAGCAATTGGACTTGCAGTTTCTAACAAGAAGTTGAAAATATCACTTTTTACCAAAAATGACAAAAATATTCACCAAAATTAGAAAATTAAAGATATCATTATGAAATGAACAAATTTGAGAGTGGTCCACATGTAGTACCTATATATGTAATATCAAAGCAATTGAACTTGTGGTTTTTAACAAGCAGTCGAAAGTATCACTTTTTACCAAAAATGACAAAAATATTCACCAAATTTAGAGAATTAAAGATATCATTACAAAATTAACAAATCTGAGAGAGGTCCACATGTAGTACCTATATATGTAATATCAAAGCAATTGGACTTGTGGTTTTTCAAAAGAATTCGAAAATATCACTTTTTAACAAAAATGACAATAATATTCACCAAAATTAGAAAATTAAAGATATCATTATGAAATGAACAAATTTGAGAGTGGTCCACATGTAGTACCTATATACGTAATATCAAAGCAATTGGACTTGCGGTTTCTAACAAGAAGTTGAAAATATCACTTTTTACCAAAAATGACAAAAATATTCACCAAAATTAGAGAATTGAAGATATGATCATGAAATGAACAAATCTGAGAGAGATCTACCCAAGGTACATATACACCAAGTATCAAAGCATTCAGACTTGTAGTTTTCAAGAAGAAGTCGAAAATTTAAAACATTGACACGGACGACGGACACCGGACAATCACTCATATGATAAGCTCCGCTCGACAAAGTTGACAGCGGAGCTAAAAATTTAGCTGGCTTTAGTCCAAGTATTTTGTACAGGTGTCTGTCAAAAATTAATGATTCACTGAGACAAATATGAACTGCCTCATTGTGTGATTTTCTGACATCTTGTTTTCTGTAAAGATTTTATTGGTAGGTTTGCAAATGTGTATCAGACTGTGCAATCTCTCCATGAGTTGGTTTTGAAACCCAGTATGGGATTCTGAGATACATTACCAAGGATATTATTACAAGATAAATCATTTGCTTCATTGAACACATACAACAATGCATATTTCCACTCAGATCAGTGACCTTTGATGTGTATCACCAGTGATCAGTCAAGTAGAAACAGTCAAAATATTTTATCAGATTTTCTCAATTTGTGCATGATGTTTTCATACAGGACATCTGTTGTTCAAACTCAGGGAAGACTTTATACTGATGAATAAGGTGACCAAGTTTGATAAAGTTTGGAATAGAATTAGTAAAGTTATTATGCACACAATAACAATTATTAACGACGACGACGACAACGCCGGACAAAATTTTTCCCTTAATATACCTTTCCCTTCCATCTTTGATGGTACGGGCAAGGTAATAAAATGCCATAAATTACCATATTCAATCCAAGTGTAACAAATTTTACCATAAAAAAACCATAATGTCCATAATAGCCAATACCATAATAAACCATAAATCCATACCAACAGCAATATGGCCCAATCCATAAAAAGCCATGTGTGATTTTTTAGTGATGACTAGAAAAATACCTTTCGTGTATTTCATAAAAGTAGTATAATACATAAAGGATATCATAATAGATATAATGCATACAAGAAGTTGTAAGAATATTCCATAATCTAAAGTTCGGGAGATGTAAAACCAAAAGAGACAATGTGCAAAAATGGCAATGGTATTTTAAGGTATCAGGCAAAAATGCCCTCTATTTTCACAAGGTTTTTATGGTGTCGGCAGGATAACACAAAATATATATTGGCTAAAAGAGGGTTAATTTCAACAAGCAGCCTGTCTGCTGAGATAGCTACGCTGTTAGCAATGCACATTTCAATTAAAGAACTGAAGATATCATTAGAAAATGAACAATATGTATAGTATCAATGCAATGAGACTTGCTGTTTACAACAAAAATTCGAAAATATCACTTTTTACCAAAAAAGGACAAAAATATTCATCATAAGCCATCAATGGCACATTCCCCGTTAGTTATCAAATTTAAGATATATAGTTTTGTTTATAGTAATATACATGTAGCTGGAATATAACCATGTCAGCAATATGATTTTTTAACATTAAAATGATTGACATTTCTATCTGATCGTCAAACAAGTACTTGTCCATATTGAGAGATATTGCTCTGGAACAGCATTCAAAATCAGCCATTTTGAATACATGTATATATATAACATGATGTATAACGAATATATAATTTTTGAATATAATCAGTCAAAGCATTTAAGAGATATGGTTCTAGAAGCCCAATCATTAAAACAAAATGGCCGCCAGTCAGCCATTTTGAATCCAATCTGAAAAAATAAAATGACGTGCATCAGGAACCTGTAATGTCTAATGTATGTTATAATTTTGAACGAAATCCATCCATAAATGCCAGAAACGCTTGATATATGATGATTTTTTAGCACAAAAATGGCCACCATTCAGCTATTTTTAATAGAATCGTCAAATCAATATATCTGTATATCTATGACATGATCTATAATGAATATTAAAAATTTGAACATAATCAGTCAAAGCAAGTCAGAGATATGCATCTTGAATTTTCAAGGTGAATGTTCCGGCGAAGCACTCGACTATCACCTTGAAGTATTTCATTAGGATTATGTGTATGTGACAATGCCCTCTCAGTTTAGAATCAGTTTAACAACAGCCAATCATATAACTTCTTTCTTCAACGCGCTTGGCCAAGCTATCAAAATCTTCGAGGCGGAGCTAAGTCACTAAACGCTCCACGTTGCTATTTAAGATGCGTAGCACTCTACCATGTATTTCTATGGACTCTGCGCGAGCTGCTGTGCACTGATCAAAAAGCCGATGAAAATAGCTAAAATCGAGAAAACAGCACAAACTTAACTTTGAAGAACTCCAATCAAATTTAAATATGTTGCATATGTAGGGGGTGACAACAACCATCCCAAAATACCGTTTTCTGGAAAATTTATTGGCCTTTGTTTCACCATGATGGTTGCCAGGCGGTGAAATGCCTGACCCGAGAATAAGTGTCGCTGAGCACAGCTAAAGCTGTGTTGGCTTGGATGTTGAGGTGATACAGCGACAATATCCATACATCATGCAACTCACTGATATTCAGACCAAAGCTATTCAAGCTTTACTTAATAATAGTGGTAATAGTGTTGTCACCACTGTTGACTATTATAGAAGAGTAGGTGTTATACCCCAAAGCTCGTGATATCACTACAACACATATCGGCAGTAATGAAGCCGAAAATATCAGAAATGCAGAGCTCCAAGCGCTTTCTGGCAGTCTTTGTAACAAAGCTTTCTATTGGTTGGTAAACTTTCTATCGTGCAACCACGTGACATATACGGTTATGAATGGTATTACCGCACGGTGTTGTAGAGGGAGGAATGTCCGAACGGAACAACACCGTGCAAGCGGACGATGGAGATATGGCACTAGAACCACAGTCATTGAAACAAAATGGCCGCCAGTCAGCCATTTTGAATCTTATCTGGAAAAAAAAAAAAGATGTACATCAAGGTCCTATAATGTCTAACGTATATACCAATTTTGAACAAAATCCATCTGTAAACAGCCGGAAAATGCTTGATTTCAATGATTTTGATGATTCGGCCATCTTGAATCAGATTGTGAAACAAATTGACGTGCATATGTATAATATCATGTATGTGTGAAGTTTGATTGTGATTGGTCCAGGCATTTCTAAGATACAGGTCCGCATGCACGCATGGACACACGGAGGTCAAAACATAAGTCGCCGTTTTCGGACTACGTCCGAACAGAGACTAAAAATTAGATAATAGAAGATATCATCACGAAATGAACAAATCTGAGAGAGGTCCACATATAGCACCTATATATGTAATATCAAAGCAATTTGACTTGTGGTTTTTTAAAAGAATTCGAAAATATCACTTTTTAACAAAAATGACAAGAATATTCATCAAAATTAGAGAATTAAAGATATCATCATGAAATGAACAAATCTAAGAGAGGCCTACCCAAGGTACATATACACCAAGTATCAAAGCATTCAGGCTTAAGTAAAACATTGTCACTGATGACAGACGATGACAAGCTTCGCTCGACAACATCAGCAGCAGAGTTTATAAAGCCAATGACATACCGCTATCTGGTAAATTACAGGCATGTACGCACAGACTGACAGATATCTGCTCGACATTACCTTCTTTACTCTTAACCTTTTCACCACAAGTTCCCTATTTACATCACAAATTCAAAAATAGTCATGTTTGCACTTTCTTTTCTTTTTACACATCTACACTTTTTCTGAAGAAAGTTGGGACAAAAATAGGCAAATTTTTTGGGTAAAAACTGATTCAAATTGTGTTTTTTGAGTCCAAAATTAGGGTTCACTTCCAGAAATATTGGAAAATATAAGAAACAAATTCAGAAAAATTTTGGGCGAGAAAGTATGGTGATGAAAAGGTGCACGATGTGTTCAAATTTTGTGTTAATAAACATGGCATTTTACATGCGCTGTGTCGCTATGAATCCCATATTAAACATGAGACGGTTATGACTACTCTAACGCTTTATATGTTAAACATATACTGTGGAGTACTTTATTTTCACTGGAAATAATTTTCGCTGAAAAGGCATTTTAGGCGTTATGTATGGAATTTATTTTCAGTGATTTTTGATGAGTTTAATGTGAAATATAGGAAAAAAAGTAAATTTGCTGGTTTTTATTTTCACGGACTTATCCCTTCAGCGAAAATAGCGAAAATAAATTCCAAGCGAAAATAAAGTATTCTACAGTATATGGAATCTGAAAAGAGTACAGGGGGAAATATTTGTGTCACATTTTCTCACCTGGCTCATCATCATCATCTTCAAAGTCAACGTTAGCTGTACTTGGTTCTTCATGGTCTTCTTGTGTAACAAATATAATTCTATCTTTACCTGAAAGTTGCCAATACTACATAATTTGTATTTATAGAAAACCATGACAACACATAGTCCCAGTTGTTTATAAGCTGATTACTGCAATTTTGGGTTGTCTGCACTTTCGTATCTCAAACTTAAACACTAAAACCTCATCTACAAGTAGAACATATCTGAAAAACAATACTTGCAAAGTGCAAACTACTGTTTTGACAACATGTATAGATGGACCACTAACTGTATAACAATTAAACAATAAGAAATATTGATTACAGTAAATCTTTAATCTTCAGCTCTATGGAGGGATGGGTGATCTGCATATGAAGAAATATTGGAAATTGGATCACATCACCACATGTAACCCTTTTCATCCCCTCCGGGAGATGTTGTGTGTTAATAAATAAATGAGCATACCCTATTATGGATCGCATTATTGTACACATCGCACTAAACAAATTTTACTGCTGATAGTGCAATAATTGTAAAAAAACACAATAATTGTGAAAAACACAGTATGTGCCATGTATTCAATCACTGTGGACCATTCATTGAGTCAGGGTCATCCGATTACATAGGCGTTGACATTGCACCATCACATGGGTGAAATGATTTAGGTATGACTACGAATCTGGATTGAACACATGGAGTCCCTCGGTGTTGAGGAACTTTGGTTAAAACTATCTACTTGGGATTCAATACCCCCCCCCCCATAGTTCCATGATTCTCTCGAACTGTGTCTCACCAGCAAAAATCCAATTACACCACAATACTATACGTATGTGTGTAGGGAGTTTCTAAAGGACCGACCCTAACCCTAACACTTCATCCCAAATAACTATAAGAGTCCTGAAGTGGGACATGTACAAATGAAATGGGGGAGATATGTGCCACCTTAAAAATATTAGGAAGATTCGACTTTTTACCTTTTTTTCTCTAATTACTAATTAATCAGTTTCTTAATAATACAAAAATACCATAAATTCATAACTATTTCACAGTGATTCAGGTTATA